TGGTCAAATATTTTTATATTCATGTTTATATGTTTTAATGCTTCCGCTGAGTAAAGATTATGTTATGTAGTAAGTTGAGATTCATGAAAGACAAGTTCACGTGTAAGTCCTCGAGGCAACCCATGAAATGTTTTATGAGAGGTTCATGTATTTATTTATGTATGCAATGTTTTCAAGATACTAGCGCCCTAAGTTCAAGAAAAGTTTGCAAATGTTTTATAAAAAGAAAAATTTATTCTAGAAATTCAATGTAAGAAAAGTGGGGCGTTACACTTTTCCTTGAACTGAGTTCGGGTATCTACCTCGTCTTCTTCTCGGACTGGTTCCTTTCCGGGTCGTCTTCCTCGATCCCCCATTAAGGGATCCGAGGTGAGGGGGACTTCGGCTTCAGGAGTTGGCACCTCGGAAATTGCATTTTCCAAAGTGGTTGATGGCTGGGAATTTTCTTTGTCGACCGAGCCGGCGGAGTGGACGCCGGTGGATGGTATGAAATTGATGACCTCTCGAGCTTCCCTTTGATCACCATATTGAGTGCCTTCTCCACGCGTCGTGGGGAATTTGAGCGCGAATGGAAATTAGAAACGGCAGCTCAAACTTTGTACAAAGCGGTTCTTCCAAATGATTGCATTATATTCGTTGTTGATGTCGAGGATTTTGAAAGTTTCCATGACAAGTTTCATGACGTGTTCCGGCGTACCGAATCGGACGGGAAAAAAAATCTTGCCAATGGGTCGGGAGATACTCCCATTAAACCCTTTTATCGGATTGTTGCACGGCCAAATGTCTGCGGGGTCAAGGCCCATTTTATCAAAAGCTTTTAACATCAAGATGCTAGAGTAGGCCCCAGTGTCAACCATAACACGGTGAACCGGGATCCCGCATATTGGAACATTAATGACAAGAGCATCGGAATGTGGATGTGCAAAGTGATTTGCGTCCTCCATGTTGAAAGTATTGGGACAATTCCGGGCATTAATCACCTCATAAATCAGTAGTAAAAACTTGTTTACCCGAATTGTAGGCCTGCAGAGCGTAGGCTTTAATTTGATGACGAGATGACAGAACTCTCGAATTATTGGTGTTTACTCGGTGAACCGTGATTTGCATTGGACTTGGGGATCGGTTCCTTATAAGTCTTTAGGAGTTTCCTGTTGTGTCGGCATTAAACACATCCAACGTAAACATAAATACTTCTTTTTCTCCTTGTCAGATTCGTTTTGGCATGGCACCTCGGTCTTCGTCCTCGTCATCTTCATAGGGCTCGATTTGACGTCCTAGCCCCGGTTTCCAAACATCGGTGTTTCGATAGAACTTCCTGAGTTGTGGATGACCGATTAAGCATAATAAAGCAGCCAGCAAGCTCAGACACTCATCGGTATTATGCTATGGTGATTTATGGTAATCGTAGTATCGCGACTTATCCAACTTGTCCTCGGGCATCCGAAGTGGTTTCGGTTCAGGCAGAATGCCCTTTCCCTTGATTTCTTCATAAATCGCAGCGGCCCTTACTGAATATACGGTTTGGTACCCCGACTTCACATCATTAGCATATTGCCTCTGGGCCGCTCTGACTTCGGGATCGTAAGCGTCTCCTCGAGGATAACCTAAGAATTGAGGCTTGTTTTGTTTCTCGGCGAAAGGCTTATTTTTCTTTTTATCGTCGGTGCCTGACTTAGAGGATTTAGGGTTAAAATTGAATAGGGGACCGACATTGCTTCCTCGGCTATAATATGTTGATGAGCCCCAGCAAGGAATTCCTGGAAAGTGTTCGACTTATTCTGGCACAACGTCCAGCGGAAAATGGAATTTGGTTTCAATCCAGCAATTGCCATGACAAGTAAGGTTTCGGGATGGAATGGTTCCATATTTTGAACTCGGTCATTAAATCGAGCAATATAGTTCTTGACACTTTCGTCATCTTTTTGAGTTATATTAGCGAGGGATTCTTTCGGAACTAAACAAACTTGGGCCGCAATAAAATGAGATCGGAAAGCTGACCTCAACTGTTGCCACTTTCAAATAGAATGAGGTGGTAGAGAGTGGTACCATTTTTTTAGCTCGGGGCCCTAGAGTGAGAGAAAACATACGACACCGAAGTACGTCCGAGGCTCCATGAAGATCCATCCAAGAAGTATAATGACCGAGGTGGGAGTCTGGGTCCGACGTCCCATCATACAGCCCGATTTGAGGGACTTTGACTTTTCCAGGCACTGGTTCCAAGGTGAGCTCGGGAGTCAAAAGAGAATCGGCTTCCAAATATACTTGCGCCGATGTGGATGCCCGCCGAGGGAGATCCTCTTGTACTATTTGCCGACTCTCCAATTCAGCAATTCTTCGTCGTAGAGCTTCTATCTCAGAGGACTATTGCTGAGCCGAGCGGTTTCTTTCTATTTACTGGCAGAGATCGGTTCGTGCCGGATTGGAATGGGCCTGAGGCTGTATAGGAAGTGGAGAACGCCGAGGTTGCCCAGATTGGCTTTCGGCAGTTTCTTCGTGTGGAATCACCAGGCGAGCACGAGTAGAATTGGCGTGATGGGATGCTCGTTCCCGGTGTGGCTGTGACGTTTGACTTCGAGGCTGAGACGTTGCGAGAGAAGCGCCCCTACCGGTATCTCATCGTGTCGGTGGGGTTTGTGGGTTTATAGGCGTTGTAGGGATGACAGATTGTCCCGGAGCTGTCATGGACATCCAGGGGATGGTTTGAGCCATCAAAGTGGCTAATCCGCGCGAAAATTCAGGATTTTGAAACAGAGTCGTACAGTCGAGCATATTTGGTATCATTTTATGGTATCTGGCAGATTGAGTGGCGCTATGACTGTGGCCATCTCTCGACGTATGACCACGATGATCTGAGTGTGACATGATTATAACAAAACACAGCTGATAAACAACGGATCGAAGGTTAACCTCAAATATCATATGAGGCCCTTCTTCTAGCGCCAAACTGTTGTTACGCTATTCTTAACAACGATTTTATGTGTAATTAGTAGAGTTTTTAGAGGAGTTTAGTCGTACAACATGCATTAAAAGCACAAGCAATGGCCCCGGTCCGAGATGAACCGAGGTGAAAGGTGTTGGGCGTTTTTGATATATATGTTGAATGTTCATAGAGTGATCCCCGTACAAGGGTAACTACTGGCTATTTATGGAATTTTTTTGGGCCCGTATCTCAAGTTGTACGGTCACTTTTTCGTAAAATGGCTTTTTGGTGGGCGGCCATGTGAGCGAGTCCCACTTGAATGATGAGATATCTTGTGGTGTGCGATGGTGTCGCGTATGCGTCTTGTCACCAGCTTCGGGCATGATGACCTCGGTTTGTGGTGACTTCCATTTTTTGTAGGGCAGGTCGGTTTTCCCTACTTCAGGTTGGAGTCCAGTTGTAATATAAACCGAAGTGATTAGGACTTAGGTCGGTGACAATAATGAATATTTCACTCTGATAGAAGCAACAGACAAGTAAAAAGTTAAGCTTTAAATGAAGGTTACCTATCAGAAGGGATATGATATTTAATACTTATAATAAATAAGGTTAACAGAGATAGTTGTTGCAAACAGGAACCATAACTATAATATTTTCGAGACTATAGTGGTTTTGTTCATTTTTGAAAAGATCCATAAAGACATAAGCTCTCGATGGACATATCCACTGGGATATGTCTCAAGAATCTGTTGGAGTGTTTGATCCATATATTCTTTACTCAATCCATCGTTTATGAAAGATATTTTATCTTCTCGATTTTTGGACACAAACCCCACCGATTTGCATCGAGTGTCGCAGTTCCATCGAGCACATTTGAAGCAACCACCTATTCTTTTTGCTCTACGTTTCTTTGAAAGAGTACTTTTACCCATACCTGGCAGATATTTATAGGAATTTGGAAATTCTCCAGATAGTCCGGACTTTTGCTTCAATCAACCATCGAATATCAATTGGAATACAATTGATCATTATCACTCTCAATCTTTCCGCTCGGGATCGATAAATTATTCTTATGATATTAAGTGGAAGAAAGGAATAAAATTTGCGAATATTTGAAGTGCTAGAATCATTTGTTATTTCGGACCATTGCTGAAGAGGATTGAGAGAGTTATCGAGTTAATTTATAGAATAATGTCGTGTTTGAGATATGACTAAAAATCAGTATGACCGACAAAATATGAGATAAGAACAGGAATAAAAACATACTAAGTGTTAGAATCAGTACTCATAGTGTATTTAATGCCAACGAACGTAGATGTGAGATGTCGACAATATAATGAACGCACATGAATTATTGTGATGTTACCAATTGTACTAGTGGTAGTTGCATAACTGGCGGTAAGAGAGGCGGTGATTATGGATTATATCAAAGATATAATTGGACAAAACAGATCAAAACGACAAAGAAGGTTGCACTAGAACAGTAGTTGCAACTTAGTTATTCAGTCTTTTCAACTTTAGTCATTGCGTTAGATTAGACTATTGTGTTGATTTTATAGTAAGAGATCTTGAGATTAATCAGTCCTTCTCAAGAATGAGAAGCTTCGTATACAGATTTTGAGTTTGGATATGTACTCAGTTAGTATGTATCCCATTTTAAGTACTTCCGATGACGAAAATAATTTTAAGGGGGATAGATTGTAATATCTCAAACAGTTATTAATAAAAGTAGTTATTTTAGTTCCGAGTTTCAACGATTTACTTTTATTAATAATGCTCGTTCCTAGTTGCTGTTGGGTTCTGTTAGGAACGTCAAACAACATGCACAACATTGAACTTTATCGAAATAAATCCTAACGCAGCGGAATCTATAGTTAGGATATGGACGTTTACCTTTTAAAATTTTTGCCGACTCTGAGAAGATGTAGAGTACCGTTGGTGAAGTTCGTCTGAACACCACAACCTAATGGGCGGATAGGTTTGGCCTTTAGTTGATTCTAATCAACACGTCAAACGGATCACGAATGGACGGTGTGCGGGTCTCGGTCGTCGGGTGCAGCGGGCAGCACGTGCGCGTCAGGCGCGGACAGCGTGCGTGTTGATCGGGCGCGTCGGGCGCTGGGTAGACACGCGGACGGACGCTGGCGAGACGCGCAGGATTGCTGGCAATGCGCGGGTGGATGTCGGGCATGTGCGTACACGCGGTGCACTTCTCCTATGCCGATGCGGACTAGCGCTAGGCGTCTGGGAACACGTGGCGTGCGGAGCAAGGCAGCAGGAACGTTCGCAGACGGTCGCGCGCATTGCACTGGCACGCTGAGGATGCGCAGGCGGCGACTGTTGAGATGCGCGGGTGATCTGCGACGAGCAGGTGCGGCTGGGACCTCACGGGCGTCGCTCGCGGACGCTGCTGGGAGATGGCGTCGGGCCTGGCTGTTGCGCGACGGCGTGCAACGACTCGCGGTTGCGATCGGCTAGGCTCGGCTGACTTTCGGCGGCGGCTGAAGATCTCTGGCGGTGGTTCACGGCGGAGGACGGCGGTGACACGATGGAGATGATGACCGAATATATATATATATATATTAGAAAGCTCAATCAATTGTACCAAAAAGCCTTCTAAC